AAGGCTGCTTCTTTTTCTTGTGGTAGTCAAGGAAATTGCAATACTGATGGAAACTGCTAACATTAATGCAAATAAAGATGTGACAGATCTGATAATATAGGAGAAAACAAGTGTAGTATCAACATAGAATTCTTAAATACATCAGTAATTGAGAAACTTACAGGCTTTATCTGAAGTTAATTTTCTTTAATTATGTTACAGTTATGTAAGGGAACTTGCTTATTTGCAAATTAGCAAGTCTTTCCTTGGGGAGAACTCTGCTCATATTTACCACACCAGTGAGGGCCTTGAACATCTGTTGAAGTGTCCTCAAACTTTGCAAGCAGACTATTAATATTATTTTTACTATATAATAATACTATTTTTTACTATATTAATAATACTATTATAATTATTTCTGTTTAAGGCAAAGTAGAGTAAAGAAAATAAGAACCTTATTGAAAGACATTTATACAATGACAGCTGTGCAGGTTGTACCACAGGATCTCAAAAAAATTATAAAATATGTACATTAATACTGACTAGTGTGACCTACTGTATTTAAAAAATCTGAATGAAAACTGCTAGATTTAATTATTTAAAAGTAAATCTTTTCTTTTGGAATAAATTTAGATGTACAGAAAAGTTGCAAAGATAGTACAGAGTTCCTGTATATCCTTCACCCAGTTTCCCTGATGTTAATATCTTACACAACTGTGGTACATTTGCCAAAACTAAAAAAATTAACACTGTTATAGTACTACTCACTGAACTCCAGACTTTATTCAGATTTTACCATTCCTCTATTTTTGTCCTTTTTCTTCCAGGATCCAGTTCAGGATATCATATTGCATCTAGTTATCAAGTCTCATTAGTCTCCTCTGGTCTGTGACAATTTTCATAACCTAGATCACTTGGTTAAGGAATGTCTGACAGGTTTCTTCCCTGTGAAGTTACTGTTTTTCACTTTCCATACTGTTTTTTGGAAGCATGTCACTAAGTCCAGTCCACATTCAAACAGGAGGAAAGATTAAGCTCTATTTCCTGGAGTGGGGAATATTTACATATTATGTTGATCTCTTTAATTTTTGTTATTAATGAATAGTTGCAATGAAAGTTTGGGCTTTCTGTTTTGTTACTAATTTTAATTCACCCTTTCCAATAGAATTAGTTTGAGAGTACAGTCTTTACGACTCTGTTAAACTTTCTAACACATCAGTTACGTTCTTGATGCTTATCTAAATAGGAATTAATCATCTGGAGTAGGAGTAAGGGATCTTCTGGGAATACTGAACTGTGGGGGACTTAAGGGCAGCAACTAGTTTTGCTTCTTATGTCACCAGCACTTAGTCTAGAACCTAGCAAATAGAGGTCAGGGAGACATCTTCATTTATTTCCAGTGGTTAGAAAAGTGCAGTACAAGTGCTTTATCTGGTAAAGGTGTAAGTTCCCCAACAATTTTGACTTCACTGGGCAAGAAAAGAGAACTGACATTTATTTGGCACTTAACCATGCTACACACTTTGTTATTTGCTGTTGATAACAGTCCTAAGAGGGAGCTATAATCTGTTTTCTACAATAAGAGAAACTAAAGCTTAAAAAGCTAAAAATCTCAATAGAATAGAATTTGAACCCAGATCTTTGTGACTTCTTGCTCAATTTTCTTTTCACTATACATGGTGGCTTCTTTCACAGTCTCACCTCTTTATTCCTGTTTCTTTTATCACCTTTTAATTTCTTCCTCTTTTTTTAAAAATTTCTTCTTCCTAAAATGAATCAATTTTTAAATCTAGAGGTTAAGAAAATGGATCTCATTCACTGCTGATAGAACTGTGAACTGGTATATCTTTGGGTAAAGACCTATGTATACCCATACTTGTAAGGGTGGTTACTGTGTCATTGTGCATAGTAGAGGCCAAACAAAAACTTAAACACAAAGCTTATCAGTAGGTGAATGATTAAATGTGCTACATCTCTGGTACGGACTATTAATGCAACCGTTAGCTTCTAAACTGTATTGTTAATTGAAAAGTGATAAAGGTATATACACACACACACACACACACACACACACACACATACACTTTTGAAAAATGATTTCACATTATATTTGCATAATATATAATAATTCCATTTTTTCAAAACAGACAATGATAGAATAACCCTATATATGTTTCTATATGATTTTAAGAACATGGATTTTTAACATCGTTTCTGCCAGTGAAAAGTAGGAGGGAAAGTTGACATACATCATTGTGTTCTCATTTATATAAAATGAGACTGTGCATATGTATGTATAAAAGAATGCATGAAAGTATAGGTACCAATTAGAAATCTAGTCAACATTAATTCCTCCCCACTCTCTCATCATCTCATCTAGTTAGTCTCAAAGTCCTGTTGATCTTCAAGCATTTCTCAAATGTTTTGCCTACTTTCCATCTCCTCTGCCATTGTTTTAGTTATCATCTTGCCTGGACTATTGAAACAGACCCCTAACTGATCTCTTGCTTTGAGTATTGTCCACTTCAAATCCTTCTTGCATTTTTGTGTCAAAGAAGACTTATCCAGGGATATCTGACATGTAAACCCTCTGCCTAAAACTCTTCATCAAGGCCCTCTTGCCTACACTATAAAATCCAAATCCCTCATCATGGTCCAACAGGCTTGAAAAGTTAGGGCTTGCCTCCTCATTCCTCACCTCATGAGTTACACTCTGGCAGCTGCAGACTAGTTTTACTTGTCCATGTAGGAAAGGGGACTGTCCCTCAAGGCCTTTGCTTATGCTGTTACTTCTTTTCAGAACCCCTTCAGCTCCCCAGGTCCTTCTCCCCAGCCACTTATTCTGCAATTCACTTCTGGGTCTTATCTACCAGAGAGTTTCCCCTGATCTCACCATTTACCCCAAGCTAAATGAGATGACCTCTCATATTTACCATGTGTATTGTTTGGAATTCTTTCTCAGTTTCTCTTCCCCACTAGACAAGGGAAAGAACTAATGTTTTAATCCTTGTAATTCTAGAACCTACCACAGTGCCTGGCACTGTTTATTGCTCCACAACTGAATGTCATCCCCTTTGCTTCCTCCTACCTACATGGACCTTTAAGCCATAACCAAAAAGTGGTTTCACATTCAAATCTTAGAGATTAAGATGAACCATCTTCATCTTTAGCAGAGGGGGAGAAATATTTCTTTGGAATCACATATCTCTAATAGAAATAACATAACCAGATTTAAAGGGTGAGGTTATAAAGCATATACATTTTCATTCATTGTTTAAACTGATATATATATGTCTTTGTAAGTAATTTTGTATAATAATGATATTTAATTGTGCAGTTTAAAATTATGATACATAGTTATCTAACCTTTTTATGGTGGTAACACAGTTATTTAGACTCTTCAGAATAGAACTGTACATTATTAAGTACTGATTTCTGTGCGTGCCAACCAGATAGGAGGTTGAAACAACTGGTACATGATTAGTAACCTGAGGTAAGTGGTGCTTAGTGCCTTAGATGATGCCACACATTGGGAACCAACAAATGCCAAATTCATTTTGATATTTACTGCCTCTTTTTTTTTTCTGACTGTGAATCACAGATGAGGTCAGTGATTAGTTTCAAAGCTGAGTACTAGAATTCTGCATTTTTTGGATTAATTTTCACAGTATTTAGAAAAAGACTTTTGACTTTTTAGTTAAAAGAACCAGAGTTGCTAATAAATACTGCAGAAAACAGATATTATTAAGTACTGATTTCTGTGCGTGCCAACCAGATAGGAGGTTGAAACAACTGGTACATGATTAGTAACCTGAGGTAAGTGGTGCTTAGTGCCTTAGATGATGCCACACATTGGGAACCAACAAATGCCAAATTCATTTTGATATTTACTGCCTCTTTTTTTTTTCTGACTGTGAATCACAGATGAGGTCAGTGATTAGTTTCAAAGCTGAGTACTAGAATTCTGCATTTTTTGGATTAATTTTCACAGTATTTAGAAAAAGACTTTTGACTTTTTAGTTAAAAGAACCAGAGTTGCTAATAAATACTGCAGAAAACAGAAATGTCTTCTATCTGATTGAATGATTAGAACACAAATTATATCCTTTTATGCCAGGATATAGCTCATGTTTCTGAAAAGACTGTCTTCATATGTTTTTCCACTGTAACCAGTTTGCTTTAAAGAACAGCAATTTGAAAGATAAACTGTCTGTAACATTAAACAGGGTATTTGTGGTTAGGTTATCTTAAGATGAGTATTTTATTTTTAACACTGTTTCAATCATTTTAATAGCAATACTTTTGTTTTCTTCAGTGCTCTACGTCTCAGTTAAAAGGTTTCTTTTTACAGCCACATGATGAATTATATAATATGTGGTTTACTTTTCCTACTACAATTATTCATAAAAAGGAGTCTTACAGAAATTAAAAGCTATCGAAGTGATCATTATTAGCTGTGATTATACTTGTTTTCAGCAAAGATTTAGTTTCTGGCAAAGGAATGTTTCTTTTTTGAAAAGCCTATTAATGCTGATATAGCCTTATCTTTCATTTAACATGACAGCTATGATGAATAATTTCTATGCAAGTAGAATATTTTCGTGTACAATTTCCAAATGTGGATGTATTTGCACAACCAACTACTAAGGTAAATTAATGTCCAGTGAAATGTCTCAGGTGAACAACAACTACTCAGGAGCTAAATGTTAAAAAAAAAATCACCATAGATTCTAGAAGGAGGCCATCTCCTTTTTTATTTGTTTTCTTTTCTATCACTATACCTTTTCAGTTCCCTCTCCTCCAACCCCAATTCTTGAAGGCTCTACAGAAAGCATCTCAGGAAATAATATTGATGCTCACAATAAATTAGAAATAGTAAGGAGACCGTGAAAAAATCAAGTAACTTCTATATCCCCCAACCTCCCTGCAGTCCAGCCCCTTCCCTCACCCCATGACAGAAAGACATAACTGTTTTTCTTATGTTTGGCTGCTATTCAGATTATCTTTTCTTGTTTTCATAGTGACCTTGAGCCTGAATGGCTGGACAATGTGCAGAAAAATGGAGAATTATTTTATTTGGAGTTGAGTGAGGCTGAAGAAGAAAGCCTCCTTCCTGAGACACCTACTGTGAATCATGTCAGGTTCAGTGAAAATGAGATTATTATTGAAGAGGATGATTACAAAGAAGGAAAAAAGTATGAACCCAAACTCAAACGGTTTACCAAAATTTTAAGAAGTAAAAGACTTTTACCCAAGCACTATAATAAAAAAAATAGCAATGACAATGGACCAGTGTCCATTCTAAAGCATCAGTCCAATCAGAAAACAGGAGTCATTGTCCAGCAGAGGTACAAAGACGTAAATGTTTATGTAAACCCCAAAAAGCTAACTGTCACCAAAGCCAAAGAGCAGCTCAAGCTTCTAGAAGTACTGGTTGGGATTATTCATCAGAGCAAGTGGAGCTGGAGAAGAACTGGAAAACAGGGCAGTGGAGAGAGGCTTGTAGTCCATGGCCTGCTGCCAGGAGGATCTGCTATGAAGAGTGGTCAGATATTAATTGGTAAGTGTTGCTGGTGGAAATCAATCTGTGCAGAGATGTGATGAATGATGCTTTGTGAGAGATGTGATCAAAACAGAATTATATGCAGAGTCTCAGCAGATTAAGGACTGATGATATTTAGAACTATAAAATTGTTAAAAATGGTGTACTACCAGATGTGTTCTTACAGTAAGTACTTGAGTACATTGAATATGTGTGTGCCTTATTTAAGCCAGGGAATAGCTTAAATAATTTTTGAGTTTTGAGTTTTATTTCATCTTGGTTATATTTGCTGACAAGGAAAAGAAAATAAGCTGTACAGTGATAATTTAGGTTTGAATGACCTATATCCACAAACAAGATACAAAAATATATAATTTATGAATAAAAATACTTTTAAATTGCATGCTTGCAGTTGAGTGCATTAAGTTCTTGGAGTGGGTTTAAACTTTCATTTGGCATATTTAGCAGTAGTGGTGTTAGACATAAATTTCCTTTTAAGGTTACTTGTCAAAATAGCCCTTCAATTTTGAGAGGGAAAAAAATAAACCCAAAAGCTACTCGGAATATATATTAAAATAAGCATTTTGGGGTGCTAACACATTTTAAGCTTTTGGATATAATACTTTAGTTACTAGCAACTTTATTACTTAAAGATAAATTAGTCAAATGTGAGAATACATTATTAATGAAACCTAAAAGTTGTTAACAATTCCTAAAGTTGACAGTTTTTTAAGTTGACTCAGCCTGAGAAATTTAGATAAAGGAACTTTTATAGATACTATATAAACATTTAAAAATATTTCTTACTTTAAATCTAAATTTCATTTGTTCATTGATTCAACAAAAAATTTTGAGCGTCTATTAAGTGAAGGAATGCAAAGAGTACTCTAATGATCCAATTTTCTTTAAGGAGCTCATACTGTAGTGGAAGAGATGGGTCAGAAATAGGCAGGCAGTGTCACAGTGTGGTAAGTACTCTAATAGGGGTTTACAGGGAGGAATCAATCATACAGGAAGAGCATCTGTGCAGTGTGTTCCAAATGGTTGGAACAAGATATCCACATTCTCGTCTTACAATGTAATGTTGATACTCTTCCCCTGGAGAGTTGTAGTCTTTGTGTCCTTCCTCGCTGCCAACCCACCACCCTCCCTGCTGCCCAGTCTGGGTGGGTCTGTGACTACAGCTTAAGTAGCACTGTGTGACTTCAGAGGTGGGATCATAAATGGTAATGCAGTTTCTGCTTTGTGCTGTAGAACCCAGTCGCCGTTCTGTGAGGAAGGCGAGGCCACATGAGGAGGCCGTAGTGTTCTGGCTGTTAGCCCCAGCTGTCCTGCCGCATCAGGCCTGAGTGAAGAATCCTGCCAGATAACTCTAGCCCTGAACACCATCAGGCTGCAACCACATGAGGAACCCTTAGTGAGAACATCAGCTAAGCCCTGTCAACCCCAGAACCAAGAGAAATAATGAATGGGCATTTTAGCTCCTAAGTTTACCAGGTGATTCGCTATACTGAAATAGGTAGCTGGAACAGAAGCTAATGTATACTTACATTCGCTCAGGTCCTCGACTTTGTTTTTTGTAAAAGACGGAATTGGACTAAAATACCTCTAAGGTTTATTTTTTCAGTTCTGACAAAAGAGACCAGAATTCCTGCTTAGGAAATCCTGCCTGGTTGTTGCTAACTTCCATCGTTTTAGGATCCCACATGATGGGAAACTCCAGCCAAAGCACTCTCTTTATGCTTGCCTGGGGCCTCTGCTCGGAATGCCTAATTAGAGTGCCTTATAGACAAATCTCTGAAGTTCTTTTTACCCCCTTCTCTCGAAACCTAGTGGAGAGGTGGTTATGGCCAGCGTGCCTCCTATTCCATGTTTTCCCCCTCCTGATCCTCACTCCAGTCTGCCGAACCTTCTAGGAATGCCACTCAACCTTTGGCCCTTTTTTTTTTTGGCACCATTTATGTGGGAAGAAAAAGAATGAATATAGAGAGGAAGAGACTTCTGAGTATTCCTACTATTTATCTTTAAAATAATTTAAAATACATGACATGCAGGTAGTCTACTTTTTTTCCTCGGCGTGGTTACATGTATATGTTCACTTTTTGATTACTCATTGTATTGTACTTCTACAATTTTTGCATTTTTCTACATGTGTATTAAATAGAAATATAAAGTTAGAAAAGTGAGGCTCATGATTTCAATTTTATAATGGAAAGATTATTTACTAATAAGTAAAAATGTTTTGAAAGAATTGTTAGAATATAATGGTTATTTCATCCTTGGTGCATAGAAAAATGCTTGGTTCATAATTAAACCATAATTAAACCTCAAAAAAAACCATATTATATATATTGAATACATAAATGATGCAAAAAGAACATGTGCAAGAAAAACAATTAGAAGTAAATATAAATACAGCCAAATGCTAATGTTGGGTTAGTGTGAGGACATTATGGGTGATTATTTTCTCTCCTTTTCAAGATTTTTTATTGAATGATTATGTTCTATTTTTTAAAAACCTGTACCTTGGGAATAAAGAATAGACCATCATAATATGGTGAGTTTGCTAATCCTTCAAGGATTAAGTTCCTTACTTGTTTCTTTCCCAGTTACATTTCACACTTAAGTCTGTGGCTAACCTGTGAGGTAAGTGCATGGGCAGGAGGATCATGAAAACTTTGTCCTGGTAGTATGCTTTGCTAGGGTTATTTTTGCCACTGTCTAGTTGGAGAACAACCCTCCTTTGACTCAAGTGCCTTGGCCAGCACAAAGAGTCGACATTCCTTTCAAAACAGCAGAACTCCATTCTGTTCTGACTTTTCTTTGCTGGGATTGTGGAGGTTTTGCTGCCTTTTTGGGTACCATTTTTGCTGTTACTGCTCAAACAGCTCGCATCGTTATTTTTTATATTTCTGTTTCTGAGTTTTTCTTAAAGTTTAACAGTTGGCTACTTGCTCACTGACTACCCGTACCCAGCCCCCAGCCCCAGACCAGAGCAAATTTTCATTTTACTTACATCCCAGAAACTCTGTCACCTCGGTAGGTTTTTTTTTCTTCTGGATTACCCACTTTTTGTCATTTTTAACAAGGTGTTTTTTTAAGGATTGGAAAGGATAAGGTTAGAGAAATCACATATTAATAATGTTCTAGGCACACATACCCCTGTGGACTGTTTCTGCTGAAGTATACAGCAACGTTTTTATTTCAAGCTCTTTTTGTGTAACTTCACATATTCTCACTTATGATCACTAAATAGATTTGTATGACACACTTGTGCTAAGTTTCTCTTAAATTTCTTCAAGTTTTTTTTATTTAAAAAAAAGCTTAACTGAGGCATAACATTCATAACATGCACAAATCTGAAGTGCATATTCAATGAATTGGGACATATGTGTATACCTAGGTAACTACCACCTAGGTCAATATAGAACATGTCCAGTACCCAGAAAACTCTGTGGTGCCTCCTCCCAGTCCACACCCCCTACCAAAGGTAATCTAAAAATCAGAATTTCTGTCAACAGTTGATTTTGCCTCTTCTCTCTTTTTTTTAAATTGCCTTGTCTTGAACTTCATATAAATGGAAGTATATGGTATGTATTCTCTTGTGTCTATTTTCTTTAGCTTACAGTCTTTGAGAAGTATCCATGTTGTCACTATGTAGTATTTCATTTATGAATATATACTATTTATTTTCCCACTGTACTGTTAATAGACATTTGGTTATTTCCAGTTAAAGTATTTGCAATGCTTTTTTAAAAAGATAGATTTGGGTTTTTTTTGAATACCTAGTGTATGGTTTTACTCTCTAATATTTGCAGGTTTTTATTTGGTATACCTTTTTTTTTCAACCTCTGTGGCACTTGTAGCATTTCCATATTCTTAATGAAAATAATTCTGCTGTGTTTGTCCTCTCCCAGATCACTTCTTTCCCACATTTTTACCTGTGGTACTTGACCTAGCAGTAAAGAAAAGAAATTGAAGAAGTGAGTTTTGTTGGAAAGATAGAATTTAAAAATTTTTAGGCCTTTCTAGAAAGCATCTGGTACAGGTACTTCCATCTAGAGATGAGTAGCAGAAGGATTATGGGCATACCTCAGATACATTGCAGGTTCAGTTCCAGACCACCACAATGAAGTGATTATCACAATTCAGTGAGTCAAATGAATTTTTTGGTTTTACAGTGCATAGAAAATATATTTATACTATACTGTAGTCTGTTAAGTGTGCAAGAGCATTATGTCTAATAAACCAGTGTAAATAACATTAATTAAAAAATAGTCTTCTGCTAAAAATGCTATCTATAATCTCAGTGTTCAGCCAGTTGTGGTCCTTTTTCTGGTGGAGGGTCTTGCCTTAATGTTGATGGCTGCTGACTGATCAGGGTGCTGTTTGCTGAAGGTTGGGGTAGTGGTGGCAATTTCTTGAAATAAGACAACAATGAAGTTTGCTACATCGACTGACTCCTCCTCTCATGAACAATTTCTCTGTAGTATGTGATGCTGTTTGATAGCATTATACCCACAGTTGAACTTCCAAAATTGTAGTTAGTCCTCTTGAAACCCTGCTACTGCTTTGCCAACTAAGTTTATATAATAGTCTAAGTCTTTTGTTGTCATTTCAACAATCTTCACAGCTTCACCAGATGAACATTCCATGTTAAGAAACTACTTCCTTTTTTCATCCATAAATAAGCAGCTCCTCATCCATTCAAGTTTTTTCATGAGATTGTAGCAATTCAGTCACATCTTCAGGCTCCACTTCTAATTCTAGTTCTCTTGCTACTTCTACCTCATCTGCAGTGACTTCCACACTTTGAATGCCTCAAAGTTATCCATGAGGATTGGACTTAAACCTCTAGACTCAAACTTCTCCCAACTCCTGTTAATGTTAATATTTTGAACTCTTCTCATGAATCACAAATGTCTTAATGGCATTTAGAATGGTGAATCCTTTCCAGAAAGTTTTAGATTTACTTTGCCCAGATCAAACAGAGGAATCCTAATATATGGCAGCTATAA